ATTGGTTGTTGCAAATTATTTCTTTCAGAGCATGTATGCTGGGCTTTTGGCTCACTTCCATGGAAGGGCTGGATGTTCCCCACTGGGGAAGCATTTACTTTTGAGTCTGTTTGAAACTTAGAACACACTGTTTCAGTGTTATGTGGGGAGCTATTCTCTTAGTTTAACTCATAGCTAAATTATAAGGTGAATAATACTCCAGAGTCTAGACACTATTATGTCTTGAGTTACCATTTGATATGCTTCCCTCCCTGAGCGCGGGCTGGTGGAACAAGGATGGATACCCTAGGCAGGCACTTCTTTAGGGCATCCCCTGGGGATAGAGGAAGCAGTCCTAGAAGGCATAACTACAGAAACACATTGGGGGAATTGGCAGCACATTGGAAATGAGGAGTTAGAGTCTGCTTTAGAAGATCTTCAAGTTGCTTTTATTTTCATGTGAATTATTCAGATGTCTTAGCAGTTCTCAGTGCAATTTGTTTTGTGAAATATATTAGGCATTCAGTGTGGCTGTTTTCAGGTTTATTATGCAATATTCTGATTCATGAAAATATTCCATTAAATGCAATCGCTCATGTAATTACTTTGCTTAATCTGAAGCATACTTTAATTAACATTGTACAGAATTCTGATTTAATCAATTAGATTTGATCTAGTATAACTTAGTTGTAAATACTTTTTATGATGCAGCAGCTCAACATAATTATTGACAGCAAAGGTAATATATGACACTACCTAGAACTACACATTTCCTGTGTTAAGAAAAGTAAATCACAATTTGACTATAATTTTATTATTTGAAAAATTAATATAAAGAATAGATTATTATGTTTCCATTAATAGCCTATTAAAATAATCTCATGAGGGAGTGTTAGAACTTTAAAAAATATGCTTTATTGTTGTATGTATTCCCTAACAATTAGGCTTGAGAACAAAAGATTAATCTCAAACAAGATTTACCACTTTTTAGCTTTGTAAATAGGCTCATTAACATAAGTATTTCATGATATTTGTCTACTGTTACGGGTTGATTTTTGTTTCCTCCCAAAAAGATATGTTGAAGTTCTAATTGCCTGTACCTCAGAATGTGACCTTATTGGAAACAGGGTCATTTAAGATGTAATTCATTAAGATGAGGTCATACTGAAGTAAGATGGGCCCCTAATCCAATATGGCTGCTGTCCTTCCGAAAACTTGGCCATGTGAGGACAGAAGACACACAGGGAGAAGGCCAGGTGAGAGGAAGGCTGAGTTCAAAATTATGTAGCTGCAACCCAAAGAACATTAAAGATTGCGGGCAATTAGTCAGAAACTAGAAGAGGCAAGGAGTGATTTCCTACAGGTTTCGGGGCGGGGGGAGGGGGGCATGGCCATGACCTTGATTTTGGATATCCCATCTCTAGAACTGAGACAATAAATTTCTATTGTTTTAAACCACCCAATCTGGAAATTTGTTATGGCAGTCCTATGAAACTAATATAGTCACTAAAACTATCTGAGAGCTGTAACTCAACATAACCAGAACCTATAAAATTGCTTTTAATAGTAGTGGGGTAGGGTGAGTGTCTTGCTGAACTATTTAAAAAAATGCAGGTGCTGTTTTTAGATTGAAGTTAATGTTTACATTCCTAAGCAAGCATTTATATTTTTAAATAAAACACTTTTTGTTCTCAGCACCCCTTCTCACATATAGCACCTAGCAGAGTGCCTTGAACATACATCTAGCAGTACATTTTGTGATTTAGTTTTAAAAGATTAAAAATGAAAGTAGCCTATAAACATTAAAATGCCCACTTACAGAATTTGAGCTGTAAAATATATATATAGTGCTACAGAAATGTGAGAGCAATCACTGAAAAGAATTTACATGATGTTCATGGAGGCAAAATTTCATTCTGAATTAATAAGTGGATAATAAAGAAACTATATACCCATTTAGTTTGTGGATATTCATATTGTATATTTTCTGTTGCCCTCATTTTGACTTTGAAAAAATACTCTGTACCTACACGATGTGAAGGGCAGGGGAAAATAAAATAATAAAATAAAATAATATAAATGTAAGTTCTTGGTATTAATTTGCTAGTTGATCTCATTATATAGGGTATGGAATAGATGGAAATTAAAAATATAATAAAAGATGAATTTGGGGGGTTATCTGTAAATTCTTTCCCCTCCCTGAATAGGCAAGTGTTGTTTACTGTTTCATTGTTGCAGGGATGATAATGTTTGACAGAAAGGCATCAACCGACACCAGCAAATGTTGTGGACAGAGACAGCTAAGAGAGCAAGAGTTACATAGTACGCTCTCAGTCAAAGGGAAGAGTTTCCTGGAGTCAGGGGTCCACACAGGTGACTATGTGCATCTTTGTCAGGTCCTTTGAGAAGCAGCACCTTTCCATCCTTGAGCGTCTTCATAAGCCTCTGGCCCTTCTGGTTATTCTGAACACTTGGGTTTTCACCTGTTCTATGGGCAGAAAAAACTAGTATAAAATAATCCCCAAATCCAGGTAATTTCTGAGCATTTACTGGCAGATGAGATGAATTGAAGTTTAAATTCCCAGATGTACTACTTCTTAGCAGGCTTAAGAGCCTCATATCTGCCTGAGATCCCTTCCTACAAATATGTAATTGAAACTGCAAGATAAAAAGATATATTAGATTTGTAAAGCATAGAAAAAATTAGTATTTCTTGATTATCTACTACACTCGAGGCTCTCAGCTAAGCATTCCACATATAATCTCATTTAATATTTCTTTTAAATTTAAATTTAATTTTTTAACTGAAAGGTACATTTTATAAACATCAAAAAGACTTGGTGGTAAATAGTTGGGAGTGCACTTTAAAAAACACTTTCTTTAAAAGGAATACACTTTGTGTGATGTTTTCATAATTAAAAAAAGCAAAACCAGTAAAATAATATGACAAGGCTTATATTAAAAACAGCAGTCCTCAGCCCCACCCTTCCTTATTCCCAATTCTCTTTCCTTAGTCCAATAATTCTTAATCTTCTAAATTATTTCTTCTTGAATTCACTTTCTTATGTCTAAATAACATGCATATCCTGATATTACTTGATTTCTTTTTCTTTCATGTTTAGATGTTTATTGACTTCTGCTATGGCAGATGAAGATTTAGCTCTGCTATACCCCTTCTCTCACATACATTACTTCTTCTTCCCCTTCAAATACTTTTTTATCATAGTTTTTGGTTAAATAAATATTTAGGGCTAATATTATTTTAACTATATAAATATTGTTTATAGCTAAGTCATAGAGTATACCATGATTATATTTCTTCTCTTCTATAGCTCAGTGTTTTCACCAAAGTTAACAACTGCATTTTGTTGTTGCTTGCTTGGTTTCTGTGCTTTTATTATATATTTTATATACCAGATTTTCTGATATAAGTAAAAATTGCCTCTGAACATATGTTCTGTTTTGTGTTTATCTTGGAGAACTTCATCTGAGTCTTCAGCTCTCCTTTTTTCTATTCCAAGTTGGTGGTTCTCTAAGCCTGGTAGATAGCTGTTACTGGGACTTTTCCCTTCACCATTATCTTGAGATTTTTTTTCCCCATCCCTATCTCCTATGTGGGAATTCCTATTTTCTGAGATCCTACATATTTTTCTTAATTTACTCCCTCAGTTTGGTACAGCATATTCTTCAGGAAGTTCCTGAGAAAGGTTAATAATTTAGGAGCTCAATTTTATGAAAATGTATTCTACCCTCACATTTCATTGATCATTTTCCTGGATGAAGATTTTTAGGATAGAATTTCCCCTGAAAACTCTGAAGGCATTTCTCCATTGTCTTCACGCTTCACTAGTGCTGTTGAGAAGTTTCATGTTACTCTAGTCCTCATTCCTTCGTGATTTTTTTTTTCTTCCCCCTTCTGGAAGTTTTTAGGCTCATCTTTTCATCCTGGTGTTCATGATGTGTCTTGGTCAGATAAATCCTCCAAGGGGATTTGCATTTCCTTCTACCAAATACTTGAGGGGTATAATCAGTCTGGGATTAGTCTGGATTAAATTCTTGGCTAGATGTTTATCATACCACTTATACAGTCTGAATTTGGGCCACAAATCAGAGAGAGATGACTTGTGATTCAGCTGCAGTGTCTCCCCTCTCTACTCTTGCCAAAATTGAAATAGTCAATTTTCCATTGAATACAGTTTGGAGGTTTATTTGTAATTTACCCTTGCCCTGAGGGTACAGGCCTTGGGAATCCTAGAATTCTGGTGGGAGGAGAATCTGCTAATAGACTTTCCACCCTGGAAGAGCCTTGGGTTCTGTTCTCTGCTCCCATTCTCCAATATGCTGTGAAAATCAAAGTCTGCATCCACTTGGCTTAACAAATGCTCTCAGGATAACAGTGCATGATTTAGCTCTCCAGGTTCCTGCCTTGCTTGAGATTTTCCTACATTTTTTGTTTGATGTTTTAAAGATGATTCAAAAAATTACATTTTGTCCAGAAGTTGTAGTTATTTCCAACAGTCCAGATACCTATCTTGTCATATTTCTGGAAATGGAAACCTGTATCACTTTTCTAAGTCTCAGTTTCCTCATCTGAAAAAATGAGATTAATAGGAATATCTACCTCATAGTATTTGAGCAATACATGAGATTATTAGTGGAAAGCTCCTAACGCTATGTCTGGGACCTCAATTAATGTTTACTTCTGTTTTTGTAACTGGTATTCTCAGAGTCTAAACATGAATGCTCTATCTTGGTATATTTTTATAGGTATATGATGCACTAATGCTAGGTTATGAAGATGTGAAGAATCTAAGGTCTTGATAAGTTGTGTATTTATTAAGAAATATAGTTGTCTCTGTTTCAAAAGTTTCCGCCGCAAATGAAAACAAAGTGATTGAACAACATTAAGTAGCCTAAATCTTAATTGAGAAAAGGAGATTTATTGCAGTGAAATCCTTAATTTGTACATTTCTTGAGACAATAGAGCTTGAAAATATCCCCTCTTCCCCTTCCTCAAATATGACTCAAAATGATATAAAACAGAGAATTTCTTTTACAGCAAACTAGGCTATGCTCAGATTCTTTTAACCAATTTTGTATTGCCACAGAAACTTGAATTGCATAAAGTACGTCCTTTTAAAGTCCACAGATATGTTCTAAGAAGTTGCCCTTCTTTTTAAAAACAATTTCCCCCCACTGATAAGTAGCTCTTGCAGAGAACCAGCTGTCTGGTGGTTGACCCGACCTTTGGGTCTCAGGGACATTTCTTTAGGAGGTGCATTGTGATATTCTTCACAGCCAGCATGGTCTCTGTACAGGTTGGTTTGATGAGCACCTCTGGAAGTAAAAATCCAAAATGTCCAGTGTCACGAAGTTCAAAAGCAAATGTGTAGGGTATTCCGTTTTTGTAGGCCCAATCCATTGAGCTACCAGAGCTCACATCTAAAAGTTAAAAAAAAAAAAAAAAAAGAACCTCGCTGAAAAGTCTGCATAATTTTCAAAGTTCATCTGTAGTACTTGCTTACTAGGCTATCTGAAATCCTTCTAATTAAACACTGTCTCAGCAAGAATGGTTTAACAGTAGTTGCTTGGTGTTAGGCTCATGGAACTTAAGAATCCTACCTGCCACCATCTTGGAGGATCTAGACTAGGTAGTAATGCTTTTCCAGTGTGATGACCTCAAAATTTCTCAGCCTCAATTCCAGTAACATTTATCTCCACCCTCACTTCAGTCACCCATAAACAACCTAATCCCCGGCCCAGTTTCTCTGTTTTCACTCTTTGAGAGGGAGCTGGAGAAAGTCTTTGCTGTAAAATCACACTGGTCACTGATGTCCTCTGTTCTCAATGCTGCTCCAGTCTCCTTTTTCTAGAACTTCACTTACCAAACATTTCTCAGGCTCTTGTAGGCCTGTTCCTCACTGAACCATATTCCCCATGCCCATAAAAGGTAATCATCCCCCGTCCTCCTCTACTGACATCACAGCCCTCCAGCTGCCCTCCTCCTAGCTCAGAGGTAGAGCCCTGCATGGTTTTTTGTTTGTTTATTTGTTTCTTTAAGGGTCGTCTTTTGATTCCATTCATCATTGTCTTCCTTGGTACTCAGAGGGTTCCTTTTCTGGGACCTAGTTTCATTAATTAAACTACCTTCTCTTGTATCTGCATTGACCAAAATATTCAAGCACCAATTTCATATGGCACTTCCTTCTCATGCTATATGCCATTCTTTTTTTTCTTTGTCCTTTGCTTTAGAACATAAAGAGAATCCATACATGTTGCCTCTATATCCTCAACCACTTTCAGTCTGGTTCTTGCCTCTGCCTGTTTACAAAAACTTTGTTCTTGAAGGTCACTAGTGACAGCAGGCCTAATTTCCTTTCTTGCTTTGCTTTCCCCCCGCCACAGACCCCACTTTCAACCTCTCAACAACCTTTCATGTAGCTGGTAATTCATTGACAATTCTCTCTTTCTGGCTCCTGTGACCTCACATGCTCCAGCTTTTCAGCACAGGTTGAAAGTACAGGCACTAGAGGCAGACGAAGGGTTTGGGCTGTATCAGATCCCACCACCTATTTTGACTTGTCTGAGCCTCAATCTTCCCTTTAGAAAAAGGGATGGTAATATCTACTGCAGAGTGTCATTGTGGAAATTAAACAAAATAATGTGCTAGGATACATAAGCCCTTATTATTTTGCATCTTTACGCCCCAAAGTGCCTTGCATGTAGTTTTTAGCATAACAGGCTCTTAATAATTATAAATAAAACTTTTATGGAAGAATTTTTATAGGGACAACTGGGGGCTCAGTTGGTTAAGCATCTGCCTTCGGCTCAGGGTCCTGGGATCAAGTCCCATGTCAGCTCCCTGCTAAGCAGGGAGTCTGCTTGTCCCTCTCCCTCTGTGCTCTCTCTCTCTCTCCTTACTCTTGCTCAAGTAAATAAAGAGAATCTTTAAAAAAAGTTTAAAAAGAAGAATCTTTACAAACCTTTTTCTTGAAATTAATATGATCCAGACTGACCTAACTCTGTTATTATTAAAAAATTTTCAGAGTATGTTCATCTGCTCGAATAATATCCTTTTTATCCTATTTTTGCCAGGACAAGTTAGAGATAAATTATGTTAAGATGACAATTAAAACACTCTGCTGTTTCTCAGTCTCCCTTTGGTTTGGTTAAGGACAGAAGGTAGGCTGTGGCTTCATTGTTCCTCTGGGTTAGAGTACACTGGAATTGCAAATAGTAGTCATAGAAGCCAAGTCAGCGTGTGCCAATAGTTACATCATCGTGATGTGACAACCTCATTTCTATGGTAACAGGTTGTTCTTGGTAAATATAATACTATGACTGTGGCTTGATATCAAGCTGAAAAGGCAAACTGTAAGATTGTTTAAAAATTAATGTTTAAACCTAATATATATTACATTGGTAATAATTAATAATATATTTTTAAGAAATACTATATTTCTTTTTTTCAGGATGACACTACTGAAAAACTTTTTTTTTAAAGATTTTATTTATTTATTTGACACAGAGAGAGATATCACAAGTAGGCAGAGAGAGAGGGGGAAGCAGGCTCCCTGCTGAGCAGAGAGCCCGATGTGGGGCTCGATCCCAGGACCCTGAGATCATGACCTGAGCCGAAGGCAGAGGCTTTAACACATTGAGACACCCAGGCGCCCCTGAAAAACTTTTTTTTTTAAAGTATGGTTTTCCTTTTTTTAAGATTTTATTTATTTATTTGACAGAGAGAGAGAGAGAGAGAGAGGGAGCACAAATGGGGTAGGGGCAGAGGGAGAAGGAGAGGAAGAAGGAGTCTTCCCCTGAACAGGGAGCCTGACGTGGGGCTTGATCCCAGGACTCTGGGGTTGTGACCTGAGCTGAAGTCAGACACTTAACTGATTGAGCCACCCAGGTGCCCCCAAAAAACAGTTCTAAAAAGGTCAGCATGAGACCAATGATCATAGACTTTGAAAATAATTCTGATACTTAAGACATTCATTATTAGGATATACTTATTTGATAAGCAATGTTAATTGGCAAACCAAACTTTTCTGTGAAGGCTGAAGAAAACGAGTGGTTAAGAATATAATAATTGGTAGGTTAAAGAAATCAAGGAGAAATTTGGTACTTCACTGAAAGCAAAATTAGATGTCAGTAACTATACATATACATACCACCTATGTGTATGCATACATAGACATTCAGATATATATGATTTCTTGCTAGATTTTCCAACTCATATAGTTGAAAAATTTTAGAGTTTGAGAGGCCATGAGAGATGATATAGTCCAATTCCTCACTGAACAGTTGTGGAAACCAAAGCTCAGGATTAATATCCTCGCCAGGATTATATCCTGATTAGTGCCAAAATTAGGGCTAAAATCCCCTTCTTCTGGTCTTTTGTTCAAGTTCTTTCCATATACCCAGTTGCTCTTTATTTCAATAAAATATTAGCAAATTACATTCAGCAGTACATGAAGGGAATTATTCAGCATGATCCAGTGGGATTTATTCCTGGGCTGCAGGGGTGGTTCAATACTTGCAAGTCAATCAACATGATACACCATATTAATAAAAAAAAGGATAAGAACTATATGATCCCGTCAATAGATGCTGGAAAAGCATTTGACAAAATACAGCATTCTCTCCTGGATCCTTATTGGAAGTCTTAGCCTCAGCAATGAGACAACAAAAAGAAATAAAAGACATCCAAATTGACAAGGAAGAAGTGAAAATTTACTCTATGCAGACAACATGATACTCCATGTAGAAAACCTTAAAGACTCCACTGAAAATTGCTAGAATTCATACATGAATTCAGCAAAGTCACAGGATGTAAAATCAATGTGAAGAAATCTGTGGCATTTCTATATACCAATAACAAAGCAGCAGAAAAGGAAATCAAGAAATTGATCTCATTTGCAACCACACCAAAACCAGTAAGATACCTAAGAATAAGTAAAGAAGTAAAAGGTGTGTACTCTGAAAACTATAGAACGCTTATGAAAGCAGTTAAAGAGGACACAAAAAAGGAATAACATTTTCCATGCTCTTGGACTGGAAGAACAAACATTGTCAAAATATCTATACTATTCAAAGCAATCTACACATTTAATGCAATCCCTATCAAAATATCACCAGCACTTTTCACAGAGCTAGAATGAACCATCTTCAAATTTATATGGAACCACAGAACACCCCAAATAGCCAAAGTAATTCTGAAAAAGAAAAACAAAACTGGAGGCATTACAATTCCAGATTTTGAGCTATATAACAAAGCTGTAGTCATCAAGACCGCATGGTACTATAACAAATGCAGACACATAGATCAATGGAATAGAATAGAGAACCCAGAAATGGACCCACAACTATATGGTCAACTAATCTTTGGATTTTTTGCAGGAAAGAACGTCCAATGGAAAAAAATAGTCTCTTCACAAATGGTGTTGGGAAAACCACACAGCAGCATGCAGAACAATGAAACTGGATCACTTTCTTACACCACACACAAAAACAAATTAAAAATGGATGAAAGACCTAAGTGTGAGACAAGAAACCAACAACATCCTAGAAGAGAACATAGAAACTTCTTTGACCTCAGCTTTAACAATTTTCTTACTAGACATGTCACCACAGGCGAAGAAAACAAAAGCAAAAATGAACTATTGGGACTTCATCAAGATAAGAAGTTTCTGCACAGTGAAGTACACAGTCAACAAAACTAAAAGTCAGCTTACAGAATGGGAGAATATATTTGCAAATTACCTATCTGATGAAGGGTTAGTATCCGAAACCTACAAAGAACTTACCAACTTAACACCCAAAAAACAAATAACCCGGTTAAAAAATGGGCAGAAGATATGAATAGACATTTTTCCAAAGAAGACATCCAGATAGGTTACAGACACATGAAAAGATGCTCACCATCACTCATCATCAGAGAAATACAAATCAGAGCCATGATAAGATACCACTTCACACCTGCTAGAATGGCTAAAATTAACAACACAGGAAACAATACGCATTGGCAAGGATGCAGAGAAAGGGGAGCCCTCTTGCACTGTTGGTGGGAATGCACACTGGTGCAGCAACTCTGGAGAACAGTATGGAGGTTCCTCAAAAAGTTAAAAATAGAAGTGTCCCATGAGCCAGCAGTTATACAACCAAGTATTTACCAAAAAGATACAAAAATACAGACTTGAAGGAATACATGCACCCCGATGTTTATAGCAGCATTATCAACAATAGCCAAACTATGGAGAGAACTCAACTGTCCATCAACTGGTGAATGGATAAAGAAGTGGTACACACACACAAATGGAATATTAGCCATCAAAAAGAATGAAATCTTGATATTTGCAATGTTGTGGATGGAGCTAGAGTGTATTATGCTAAGTGAAATAAGTCAGTCAGTAAAAGACAAATACCACATGATCTCACTCATATGTGGAATTTAAGAAAGAAAACAGATTGAACATATGGGACAGGAGAAAAAGAAAAAAAGGTGAGAGGGAAAGAAGCCATAAGAGGCTTTTAACAGTAGAGAACAAACGGAGATAATGGAGGGAGGTGGGTGGCAGATGGGCTAGATGGGTGACAGATAGGCCCTTGTTGTGTTGAGCACTGGGTGCTGTATATAGAATTCAATGAATCATTGAATTCTACTCCAGAAACCAATATTGTACTGTATGTTAACTACCTAAAATTCAAATAATAAATTTATTTGAAAAAGAAAAAAAAATTTAAATCACCTTTTAAGGGGAAATTCAGCTGAAGCCATTACATAAGAAATACAATTTCATAGCAAAAATGGTGGAGGAAAGGAATAAAAGGAAAGCTCTTTTAGGGCTGAGACATTACTTCATTATATTCTTAAGGCCCATTTCTACCCTTACAGTAGTTACAATTGTTTAAGAAGCCCATTTGGGTACTTTCTACTGTCATAAGATCTCATTTCAACTTTGTAGTCATTACTACATGCTTAGAATAGTGTCTGCTTAGAATTTATTTCAATTGGTACAGTGATTTATGTCAAGCAGTGTAAAACTAATCAAATATAAACTCCCTCCATCTTCCTTGGCTAATTTGGTTGTCAAAAATTTCTCATTAAGGGGGAACACACTTCTGTTGTTTTTTTAAAGGAAGTCATTTTACAGGATCTTGGTTCAAGAGATGATTCTAACACAAAATACACAGGAAACTTACACAAGGTGCTGGAGGCAGGTCCGTATCTATACTGTACCCCATATACTGACCGAAGTGCATTCACAGCTTTATAAGCTGCATATTCCTGTGAGGGAAAAGGGAGAGCTGATATCACTTTACGTCACTGCATTGAAACCCTAAGAAACACTGGCATGTTGTTTGAGCCTTATCATTCTTCAATTTGGAGAGCAAGGTTGGGCACATTAGGTAATAGGTATATTTAATAATAATGGTAATAATATTCGTTGTCACATGCTGCAGTTTATATTTTAGAACACATTATGTCCTTTGATTGATCCTTACACCAAGTCAGTGATCAGTAATATTTCCATTTTACAGACAAGAAAGAAAAGGCTCAGCAAGGTTCAATGGGCAGGCTGGGGTTGCATGACAAGGAGTGGTCGAGGTAAGTGCCCATATCTTCTGATGTTGATTTAGTGTTCTGTCCTCTTCACTTTCATTCAGAGACACTTGTTTCTATGAATTACAAAATGCTTGACAGGGCAGAGCCCATGCCAGTCTTCTTCATAGCTACATATGCATTATTTAGCAATGTGCCTGTGTATAACAGAAGCTTAGTCGATATTTCTTGCATGAATGTTGAATAAGCATAGCTCTGCAAGGGTATCAAGATAATCTTATTGATCCTTAAGTACATACTTCAGTGGCTATGTACAAGATATTTAAAACACACTTGGATCAATTAGAAACCCTTTAGTTCAGGAAGAGTGTCTTCTCTTATGCTATTCATTTATCCCTGCAGGAATAGGAAGAACAATTGTGGAATGCTCCATGACTTCTAGAGTTACATACGCCTCTGACAGAGCTCAGGTACTGCTAAGATGGAGAAATTCTGAGGCGGAACGCTACCTATCAATGCTCCAAATCAGGAAAAATGAACAACACAGTAAAAATACTAAAAGGTGAATGTTCTAACATAAACTAAAGTGATACTGACTACACTTCAAAACATTTTCAAATGGTGTAACAGCATTAGTTTCGATAAGGAGTTAGAGAAGTATTGTATGACCAGTGAGAGGAAAAGAAGTATGGTGAAACCGGTATACAGCTCTCCCGTTCCAATTTGCCTATAAATAATTTATTATACCGGTTTAAGTTCTCTGGGCAACACCGCGCTGTGTGTTGGACCCAGCTTCAGCTTGCTGTCCTCATTCACCTCAGGGATGCATAAGGCAGCATTTGCAGCAAATGCCACTCTTGGAGGATATTAAGGGACCAGCCTCCAGAACCTGGCAGACAATTTATTATTCATCTCACTGAGGATGACATCCTCCTCTCAGGAGCCAACAGAAAAGGAATGTAAACACCATAATAAGATACTTTTACGGAGAATGTTCTGAGATTTTAACATCTTCTCCAATGGTTTCAGCAATATTCCATGGCAAAGGCAGATATTTCTACATTTAGAAGATTACTGTATTCTGCTGGTGAGGATAATTTTGTCCCTCATTATTTCAGATGACTAAACTACCCCCAAAAATCTTTTAAGAAAAAAAATACAACCACTTGGCTTATTTACACAAAATATATGCACAGTTTTAGCGTTTTGAGCTCATGGCACTTCTATCACTCAGGTGCAGGTGGAGGCTAAGATGGTTGGATATGATCAGTCCACAAAAAGTAAAAACTTCATAAAATTCTCTAGGAATTATTTTCCAGGGTGGTGTAGCCGGACACCTATTTGAAAGAGTTTATGCAATTCCTCCTTTCTTTATTGCTTCCTCTTTTCAATTGTTCAAAAGGACCCAGGCCTCACTTAGTGAACCTCAACTAAGTCAGGAATATATTTTTTATTCAAATAGTTCCATATTTAAAGCAAGTTAATGAATGACCTAAAAATGTTAGTGAAACAAAGGCTCCTACACTGATGGAATTTTAACTTTTTTTTTTTTAAGATTTTTTATTTATATATTTCACAGAGGGAGAGACAGCAAGAGAGGAAACACAAGCAGGGGCAGTGGGAGAGGGAGAAGGAGGCTTCTTGCTGAGCAGGGAGCCCGATGCGGGGCTCAATCCCAGGACCTGAGCTGAAGGCAGACACTTAATTACGGAGTCACCCAGGCATCCCTGATGGGATGTTTTTGAACAATTTATTAGAATTGGAAGATTTCTGTTAACATTCAGAGACTACCTAGTTTCTGAGAATTTTAATTGTGGCATTAGTGACTTAGATTATATGTAACCTGGTAACAGTATTTCTCAACAGTGGTATTATTGACAGTCTGGACTGAATAATTTTTTGCTGCAGGAGGCTGTCCTGTACATTGTAGGATGTTTAGCAGCATCCTTGGCCTCTATCCACTAGCTGCCAATAACATCCTCCAGCCTTGTGATAATCAAAATGTCTTCAACATCATTCAGTGTTTCTGGGAGGCAAAGTCATCCTTGATTGTGAATCACTGGTCTACTCTTTATACCATATCCAAGACAAAGACAAAATCTGATCCAAGACAAAATGAAAATAAGCTTCACTCAGGTAATAGTTTTAATATATTGCATATTCCATTTAGTCTGTTGTGAGAATATAAATAGACACTGTGCCCAACTTAGAAAGGGCTGAATATAAACCTAGAAAAGCATTGTGTGATACAGGGTGGTTAAAAATAGGTTAACAGTCAGGTTAAAAACAACAACAGCAGCAGCAGCAACAACAACAACAACAACAATAAGAAGCCTATTTGACTCACACAGTAGTTGATGAGTTGCACTTTTTAAAAAAAATTTTTTTTATTTGACAGTTGGACATCACAAGTATGGGTGATCAGAGTTCTTTGGTAGGTAATCAGCTTACTTTAGGATACAGGTTGAAACGGTGCCTCCTCCTACTTCCCCACCATCTTGTCTCTTCTGGAGATCACAAGTAGGCAGAGAAGCAGGCAGAGAGAGAGGAGGAAGCAGGCTCTTGAGCAGAGAGCCAGATCTGGGGCTTGATCCCTGGGATCATGACCCTGGGATCATGACCTGAGCCGAAGGCAGAGTTTTTAACCCACTGAGCCACCCAGACACCCCACGAATTGCACTCTTAAATAGAACTACCACCTTTATAAAATTTCTCAAGAGAATTTGCTCAGAGTTTTTGCTTGGTTATGCCAAGAACAAAGTTCCTCTTTGGACAGAATAGAAGCCTTCCCTCAGGCCTTCCTCAGACCTCCTCATGTTCTCCATTCCTTCCAGGTCCTAGACATCTGGGTCAGGAATTCCTGCCACTCCAACCAACTGGTGAAGGATTTAGAGTTCAAGGTGTAGGAAGAAAGGGGATGCTTCTCTTTTATCAAAGCTTTTAATTCAAGAAGAATTATACATAGAGAAGAATATACACATTTTCAGTTCATAACTCAATGAATGATCACATATCACACACACTCATGTAACCATCGTCCAGGCCAAAAGATAGAACATCAACAGCAAGTGATCTGAAGGGGCACGTGCACCTGAATGTTTATAGCAGCAATGTCTACAATAGCCAAACTATGGAAAGAACCTAGATGTCCATCAACAGACGAATGGATAAAGAAGATGTGGTATATATATACAATGGAATACTATGCAGCCATCAAAAGAAATGAAATCTTGCCATTTGCAACAACGTGGATGGAACTAGAGGGTATCATGCTTAGCGAAATAAGTCAATCAGAAAAAGACAACTGTCATATGATCTCCCTGATATGAGGGAGAGGAGATGCAACATGGGGGGTTAATGGGGTAGGAGAAGAGTAAATGAAACAAGTTGGGATTGGGAGGGAGACAAACCATAAGTGACTCTTAATCTCACAAAACAAACTGAGGGTTGCTGGGGGGAGTGGGGTTGGGAGAGGGGGGGTGGGGTTATGGACATTGGGTAGGGTATGTGCTATGGTGAGTGTGTGAAGTGTGTAAACCTGGAGATTCACAGACCTGTACCCCTGGGGAAAAAATATATATATGTTTATAAAAAATAAAATAAAAAAAATACAAAACATTAAAAAAAAAAAAAGAACATCAACAGCAAAACCCAAAAGCTTTTCTTCCTATACGTCCTCCTAGTCACTGTTCCCTTCCTCTCCCTCATTTCTAACACTGTATATTAGTTTGACCTGGTTTTGAATTTTACAGTCCTTCAGATGCCAGAGGCTCTGAATCAGACTCACTTTACAAGGCATTTTGCCCTACAGTAGATAGCTTGTTGGGTTTCTGAGATGAGGAAGAAAGAAACTACTTTTTCACTGCCAACTAATCTTATGCCTGAAGGGCTGTTCATTCTTAGCACCGACTTGTCAGATACATGCCCAGAGACTTAGTACCATTAAGCAAATAGTGCTCATAAATTAAATCTTACTTTTAATTAATGAGAGTCAGACCATAATTTATGAACAATTATTTACTCAATAAAATTAATTATAGTCCTGCATATTTGACCGAAGCTGTAATACTAATCATATCCATCCTGACAACTTTCTGTGTAACCCGTGCTAAGAATGTAAATTGGTTTGAATTGACTGCATTTGAGAAGCAGCATAGCACAGCGGTTCAAAGTGACAAGGCCAGAGCTAGACTGGGGGCTGAAGCCTGGCCAGGGCACTTAGTACCTGTGCATTCTGTGTCTAATTACTTTATTTCCCTAGGTTTCAGTTTCCTCATCTGTAAAATGGGGACAATAATAGTTACTTATCTCATATGCTTATGGAAAATAAATGAGTTGATACGTAAAAGATGCTTATTAGAATAAACACAATATGTGTTTGCTATTACCATTACTACTCAGACCCCTTTTAGCTTTAGAAAAGAAGCGTAAAGCATGACATGCATGTACAAGTGCAAATACTTACCACACAGCTAAAGTTGGGGATTGTTGCGTATTTGTAAGAATAGGGATACAGCAACATCTGAGCATATGCATGAAAGGAGAGGTAAGCTCTAATGTGCTTCCTGTGTTTTCGGAGGAAAGTGGCTACAGCTTTCACTTCTGGCTCAGATTCTGGGAAAGGTCCACAGTATGTATCATCACAAGGGTGCATAGAAGCTCCTTCATCTGCAATATAGAAGAGAAAATGGGGTGATGGAATGGATAGGCAAGAAGCAAGAAACATGGATCAGCTTTCTTAAACTGATTTTTCTTTAGTTTCTATAAGCATACGGTATTGTTAAGCAGTTCATCTCACTTCTCATTTACAGAAACCAATACTGAAAAATCCAAGGTGGTTCAAACCACCACGCACAATAGGAGGGTGCCCTGAATAGGAACTAGGCACTGATTGTTTAAATGAGCCTGCATAAACCACTTGGAAAAGGATGGCTTTATCAGTGGGAGACCTAATTCTATATGATCTCCCAGATCGGGTAAGGCTCCTATACCCCATGATGCCTCCATTTTTCCTCCATAACATTTAACACACTTGTAATTAGTGCCCAATATTTACCTGCTTAACACTCAACCAATATTTACACTGTTCTAGGCACCTGGTATACAAAGCAAGACAACACAGAAAAAACTCCCTGCTCTAGTATAAATATTCAGTCTGGATTCTTTGTTAAACTCTAATGTTCTGTGAAAGCAGGGACTGTGCCTTTCTTGCTGGGCACCTGGCAACTAGAACAATAGTATGCCAAGTGTTCAACAAATATCTGTTAAAAAGTGAATGTCAGCTCAAAAGAAAAGGCTAGACATCTGCACAGGTGTCTGGTAAGATAAAAATACTGATACATCAAGACCATGAAGGCAAGGCAGAAACAATTCCACAAAAGATGCTAAAATAATTTTGGTTTTTAGATAAGCAATATCCAAACTGGTTTTGTAAAACCCAAGAGGCTTCTCTAGTTATCTTGGGGGTCAGTAAGAATTCAGTTAAGAAATCCTCACAACTAAATTGTAATAATTTTTGAATTAAAAACTTTATAACCTATAGGGTCTATGAAGGGGAGGAAGGAAAATAACATTCACTGTAGCAATCACAAAGTATTAAGGTTCCAAGACATTTTTCCATCAATAAATAATTACATTTTCTACAGTTATTTGCCACTGGCCATTATTAGCCCTCCCAACAGCCCTAGAAAACTGTCTCTTTCCATAAGCAAATGGAAAATGTTTGGTGATTCTGTGACATAGTCCAATTCCACTAATATGAAAAGATAACCAAGTCAAATCAGGCTAAAGCTTGAGGACATTAAATCTAGTTTGTGTTATAGGTGAATTAAAATGTGGAATTTACAGCAATTGTGGTTTTGCTCCTTTGAGTCTAATTCTGGGCATGACTTAGAAGTAAGTGGGATATGGATGGAACTCAGATAGCTGATACTCTGAAAGGAATAGGACAAATAAAGAGACATTTGAAGATCACAGATGTAAAGCACCAGAAAGGAGAGATCACAGACTGAACAACTAATTCCAGGGGGAGCAGAACTAATGAGCCAAAGAAAAAAGGATTTACAATAATCCTGATAAACATTCTCAAGGGCATACAGCAGGGCACTGAAAACATTAAACAGGGACAAGAAGTTATAAAAAAAAGTACCAGTCAGATATAATAGAAATGAAAAACTTAATTCATGGGTTGAAAGAATACAGTTGATGAGTGAATTAATGAGATAGAATATGTTTTGAAACATTCCCAGAAGGCATCAAGAAGAGACAAAGAACTGGAAAAATGAAAAAAAAAAAAAGCAGTGTGACAGAGTGTCAACATCTGATTAACATAAAGAAATAAAAGTTAAATATTTGAAGAACTGCTAATTGAAAATTTTCCACAATTAAGGAAAGATTGAATGGACTTATTGTGTACAAAACAAGAGAGATAAAGGGGAAATCTGTCAATGCTTTGACACTGTAGGGTGAAATTTAAGAAAAGGAAACAATTCCAGAGAGAAAGCAGCAGGTCATCTATAAGGAACAAGGATTAGATTCAAACCTTTTTTTTTTTTTAAAGATTTTATTTATTTATTTGACAGAGATCACAAGTAGGCAGAGAGGCAGGCAGAGAGAAAGGGGGAAGCAGGCTCCCTGCTGAGCAGAGAGCCCCATGCGGGGCTTGATCCCAGGGTCCTGACCTGAGCCGAAAGCAGGGGCTTCAACCCACTGAGCCACTCAGGTGCCCCTAGATTCACACCTTTTTATTAACAACACTAGAGTAGTATTTCCAAAGTATATTTATATACATATATGTGTACTTATTTACTATTCTTACATTTTATTTATAGGTTTAAAAATTAATTAAATTATATTGTAAATATAATATAAATTATATTAGTGTACAGCATAGTGAATCAATAATTATATACATTATGAAATGTTCACCATGATAAGTATAGTTACCATTGATCACCATACAAAATTATTACAATATTACCTACTGTACTTGCTATGCTGTAAATTATACCTTGGTGAATTATTTATTTCATAACTGGAAGTTTATATCTTTTAATTTTCTTCACCTATTTTGCCCATCCTCCACCAACACTTTCTATCTACAGTAAACGTAGGGGTGCATATATCTTTTTGAATTAGCATTTCTATTTTCTTTGGGTAAATATCTGGAAGTGGAAATACTGGGTCATATGGTATTTCTACTTTTAGTTTTGGGGGAACCTCCATACTCTTCTTCCATAGTGTCTATTACCTTAATTGTTCCAGGTGCATTTGAAAAGAATGCATATTCTGCTGTTTTTGGATGGAATGTTCTGTATCTATTTGTTAAATCCACATGGACTAATGTGTAACTCAAAGTGACTGTTTCTTATTTATTTTCTTTCAGGATGATCTACTGATTGATATAACTGGGGTGTTAAACTCCCCTAGTTTTAATGCTATTTTGTCAATTTCTCCCTTTATGTCTCTTAACATTTGCTTTGTATATAATCAGGCTGCTTGTATATTGGGCGTATAGATATTTATAAGTGTTATATCATCTTGTTGGAGCGATCCCTTGATCGTTATGTAATGTCCTTCTTTGTCTTTTGTTATAGCCTTTGTGTTATTTTGTCAATTTTGTCTGATGTAAGTACTGCTACCCCAGATTTTTTTTCTGGTTTTCTTTTGCATGGTATCTTTTTCTACCTTCTAACTTTAAGTCTGCATGTTCTTGAGGTTTGAAGTGAATCTCTTATAGACAGCATATAGATGGGTCTTCTTTTTTTTAATTTTTAATCCATTCAGTTACCTTATGTCCTTTGATTAGAGCATTTAGACCATTTATACTTAAAGTAATTATTGATAGACATATATTTATTACCATTTTGTTAATTATTTTATTGTTTTTGTAGTTCTCTGTTTCTTTCGTCTTCTCTTCTACTCTTCCCTTGGGATTAGTCACTTCCTTAGTCTTATGCTTGGATTTTTTTCTCCTTTTTGTGTATCTATTACAGGTTTTTGGTTTTATGGTCACCATGAGGATCATATATAACATCCCAAGTATATAACAGTCTATATTAAGTTGGTGGTTTTGAGTTCGAACGCATTCTAAAAGCACTACATTTTTACTCCTTCCTCTCTCTGTTTTATGTATATGACATCATATTTTATATCTTCTATTTCTTGAATCCCTTAACTAATTTATTAGATATAATTGACTTTACTACTTTTGTCTTTTAACCTGCATATGGCTTTATAAGTGATTGATTTTCTACCTATACTATATATTGTTTTTACTAGTAAATTTTATCTTCTAATAATTTTCCTACATCTAGTCATAGTCTTTTCTGCTGTAAGTCCTTTCACATTTCTTATAAGGCCAGCTTAATGCTGATGAACTCCTTTAACTTTCATCTGGGAAACTATTGCTTCTTTAGTTCTGAATGATAACCTTATTAGGTAGAGTATTCCTGGTTGTAGGTTTCTTTCCTTTGAGCTCTCTGAATATAACCTGCTACTTTCTTCTGACCTGCAAAGTTTCTGTCGAAAAATCAGCTGATAGTCTTATAGGGTTTTCCTTGTATATAAGTAGTAGGTTTTCTATTTTGGTCTTAAGATTCTAATTTTAATTTTTGACATTTTAGTTATGTGTCTTGGGGTTAACCTGTTTGGGCCTTGTTTGGGGTTCTCTGTGTTTCCTGGACCTGGGTGTCTCTTTCCTTCCCCAGGTTAGGGAAGTTTTCAGATACTGTTTCTTTAAATGAGTTTTCGGCCCCCTTTTCTCTCTCTTATCCTTTTGGGATTTCTATAATGCAAATGTAGCAATACTGGATGTTGTCCTACAGGTCCTTCAACCTATCCTCATTTAAAAAAATTCTTACTTTTTGCTGTTCAGCTTGAGTGCTTTCCATTACCCCATCTTCCAGATTGCTGATACATTCTTTTGTTTCCTCTTATCTGCTGTTGATTCTCTCTAGCATATTTTTCAGTTCAGTTATTGTATTCCTCAACTCTGGTTTTTATATTTTCTATCTTTTTATTGAAGTTCTCACTGAGTTCATCCACTCTTAAGCCTGGGGAACATCTTTATGATCATTATTTTGATCTCCTAATCAGGTAAATTGTTTATCTCCATTTCACTTGGTTCATTCTCTGAAGTTTTGTATTGTTCTTTCATCTGGAGCATGTTCCACTGTTTCACTTTATTTGACATTCTGTGGTTGTTTGTATGAATTAGGCCAAACAGGCACCTCTCCCAGCCTTGAAGGTGTAGACTTGTGTGGGAACATCACCTGTGTCACCTGTGTGTGCCTGGTGTTTTAGGAAGGACAGCCGAAGCAGGCTTGTTTTGGGATGTCCTGGGTGCTCCACATATATGGGTTTCTACATTGGTTGCCATGTGGGGGTGGTGGGGCCCAGAGTACTCTGGATCAGGGCTGCCCCAGGGGGATGGCTATACCTGGGGTGGGCACAGGCCAGAATAGCTTTGGTGGAATGGTTGGAACTGGGATGGGTGTGACTATGGGAGAACTTTGTGGGGGATGGCTGGAGGTGGTGTGGACTAGGGCTTGATACAGTGGCAGGCTAGCTAGGGAACCAAGATCTTGCACCAATTTGTACCATCTAGGTGGAGAGGAAATGTAAACAGTGGCACTAGCCAGCACCTCTGACGTCAGAAAGGATTTAAG